AAATTTGTGAGTGTAAACACAAATTTAAATATAAGTGTATGTGTAAGTGTACGTGTAAGCGTAAGCGTAAGTAAGAATGAAAGTGTAGGTGCAAGTGTAACGGTAAGTGTGAGTGACAGTGGAACTGGAAGTGGAAGTGAAACTGGAGGTGGAGGAGTAAGTGTAAGTGTGAAAGTAAGGGTAAGGGAAAATGTAAGTGTAAGGTAAATGTAAATGGAAGTACAAGTGTACGCGCAAGAAAAAAATGAATGTGCAAGTAAAAATGCATGTGCACGTGCAAGTGCAAGTGAAAATGTACACGTGGGCGCAAGTGAAAGTGCAAGTGTAAGTGTCAGTGAATGTGCAAGTGCACGTAATAGTGCAAGTGTAAGTGCAAGTGCACGTATAAGTGTACGCGTAGGAGCAACTGCAAGTGCAAGTGCAAGTTTAAGCGTAAATGTAAGTGCGAGTACAAGTGCCAGTGCAAGTGCAAGTATAAGTGTACGCGTAGGAGCAAGTGCAAGTGCAAGTAAATGCGCAAGATCAAGCGCAAATTCAAGTGCAAGTTTGAGAGCACGTGTAAGTGCAAGTGCAAGTGCAAGTGCAAGTGCAAGATCAGTTTAAGTGAAATTGTAAGCGCGATTACAAGTGACAGCGCACATGCAAGTATAAGTGTACATGTAAGTGTAGGTGTAAGTGTAAGTGCAATAAGTGGCAGTGTGAGTGTAACTGCAGGTGCAAATATAAGTACAAGTGCAGGTGTGAGTGCGAGTGTGACTGTGCTTGCGAATGTAAGTGCAAGAATAAGTGTAAGTGCAAGTGCGCGTGCAAGTGCAACTGTGAGTGTAAGTGCACGCAGGTGCAATTGTAAGTCTAAGCACGTGTGTGCGTGTGCGGTCGCGCGCGCACATGCGCGCGTGCGTGCGTGTGTGCATGCGTTGCGTGCGCGCGCGTGCGTGCGCATCTGCATGTGCGTGCGCGCATGCGCATGCGTGTGCGGGTGCGTGCGCGTGTGCGTGTGCGCGCGCGCGTGCTTGTGCGTGTGCGTGTGCGTGTACGTGTGCGTCTGCGCGTGGGCGTGGGTGTGGGAGTGCGCGCGGGCGCGGGTGTGGGCTTGGGCGTGGGCGTGGGCGCGGGTGTTGGGGTGGAGGAGGGGGCGGAGGTGGGGGCGGGGGCGGGGGCGGGGGCGGGGGCGGAGGTCAAGTTACTCAGCTGCCACCCGCCCCCCCACAACATACGAAGCAAGTGCGTCGCGCCAGACGCCTGTCGTTCATCTGACATCTTGGGCGGCTAGACGTTCAGCGCGCGACATGAGCTGCGTCTGATTTCCTGCCGCGCACTGAACAACGTCGACGAGAAACAAAACCGCGCGCGATGCACGCCCGCCGCGCCCCGCTCCGGCCTCTCACGTTGCATCGTCGGCGACAACATGTCCAGCGCGCGGCCATGGCCGGAGGGGTCTGGGGGTCGATTTTTGTTCGATTTGCGCGCGCCAAAGGCCACTGTTGCCAAAGGTCTCTCTTACGTGAACACGACAACGGGCGCGCCGGCGGCGAACCGCACTTGCCCGAGGCATTATGACTTACCGCCCGCCCAGCTCCTCAACCCGAGGGGCCGCAGCGTCGACGACAAAAACATCCATGTTGACGAGCAGGCGCCCCCGCGCGACGCGCGCCGCGTCCCATTCCCGCTACGCGATTCGCAGCGCCGACGAGGAGAAATTGCTGGGTTTTTTGACAAGTAGGACGGGGGGCCCCTCGTAGGGATGGCCAAGCGTCCGCGCGCGATGTGCGCCGCGTCCCATTTCTGCGACACTTTTTCGCAGCGTCGACGACAAGAAAGTCCACGTTGACGAGAAAAACGTTGACTGTGTACTGTTTTTTGATGGGTAGGACGCCGCGACCACCCGCTTAGGGTTACCCAAGCGATGTTCAGTCCGTCCCATTCCTGCTACACTTTTCGCAACTCGACGACACGCTGGCGAGAAAAAATCAGTTTGTGTTGTTTGTTGACAATTAGGATGGCAGGGTTGCTATCGACCGGCTAGGTGGGGATGTGGGGGTGCTTCACCATAGGAAGTAAGGATGGGGGTGTGGGCGTGGGCGTGGGCGCGGGCGTGGGCGTGGGCGTTGGCGTGTGGGTGTGCGTGTGCGTGTGCGCGTGGGTGTGCGTGTGCGTGTGGGTGTGGGTGTGCGTGCGCGTGTGCGTGTGCGTGTGCGTGTGCGTGTGCGTGTGCGTGTGCGTGTGCGTGTGCATGTGCGTGCGCGCGTGCGCGTGCGCGTGCGTGCGCGTGTGCGCATGCGTGTGCGTGTGCTGTGCGTGTGCATGTGGGTGTGTGGGTGTGGGTGTGGGTGTGGGTGTGGGTGTGGGTGTGGGTGTGGGTGTGGGTGTGGGTGTGGGGTTGTGTTTGTGTGTGTGTCTGTGTCTGTGTCTGCGTCTGTGTCTGTGTCTTTCACTGTGTGTGTGTCTGTGCGGAACAACGCTGCACATCGCCTTCGTGGTGTTCCTCTTTTTCCTGGGCGTCGACCTGGTCAAGTGGCACGTCCCCCTCTGCAGCGCTTGGGGCTGGTGTTCGCGATGCGCCGTCGACGGCAACACCTTCTCCTCCACCCTCCGGGTGTTCGCCCCTGGTACCCGTCCGCGGCGCACCTGCCCCTGCACATCCACTTCGGCACCGCCTGCACCCCGGGAATCGCCCACTCCGGCCGCCTGAACCCCCGCCTTCCTGTGCCATGTCTCCCTAATTAAAGCTGTGCGTAGCCCGCCTAGCTTTTAGCGGAAGAGGTTCGTTCTCGCCCCGCAGATCAACAAGTGTTTGTGTCTGCGTGTGTCTGTGTGTGCGTGGCCGTAGCTCGCCCACGCACCGTCCCCACCGCCATCCATGTCCAGATGGTTACGGCGACCGGCTGCTGCGTGACCCTAAACGATAACTGAGGGTTCGAGCGATTAGTTGCGCGCTTAGCTGCGTTTTACTTTTTCCGACTCGTCGCCGCGCGCGAGTCCGCGACGCCGAAAAAATATGTAATACACATACAGTATGTGTGGCCCACCTTTCAGAAACATGTTCTTCTACGGGAGTCCTCCCAGCCCCAGCGCCGGCGTCCCCGTCATAAGCGCTGACTCGCGCAGCTGGGGCGCCGCATACCTCTCACTCCGCCGCCGCCTGCATGGCCAGTCGGTCACTCCCACACTCCTCGTCCCAGGCGAATGACTACGGTCTTTCTCGCTGACACTCGCCGGCACTGCATCGCCCATCGCCTTCAGCCTGCCTCGCTGTGGCAAACGGCAACGGCGGTCTGCTCCTGGCACGCACGCTTTCGTGCGCTTCTGCATCTGTTCTCCGCCGCTGTCTGTCGGCCGCGTCGCTGCACTGCTCGCCTCCTTCCTCTGACGACGTCACCATGTTCTCACTCGCCACCCACGCTTGGGCGGCCCGTGGGCGGTCGACCCGATGCGGTTCCGCGTCCGAGGACCCGGCCGCGCGCGCTGGGTCCGTGCATGCTCTGCTCGACTTGCTCCGCCGCGTCGCTGCGCGCGAGGCCGCGACGGCCAAAACGCGTGCATGTGTGGCGCAGGAGTGCTGAACTGCTCCACTTTCAAAATTCGGCCTGACCTGACCTGAATCACGATGAATAAGGAACGAAGCCCCTCTTTTTCCAAGCAAGTCTACGAAGTCCGAAGGAACACTGGGGGGGCTCGCCGCCGAAAAGAAACGCATGCAAACCAAAGGAGCGACCAAACCCCCTTAAAAAGCAAGCGCTTCTCGCGTCCAACCGTGGCGACGAGGGGCCCCCCGAAGGCCAGCTGTTGCTGTCTCCTTTTCTTCGGCAGGCCACTGGTCGCACACACACACACACACACACACACACACACCCGAAGCGTCAACTGGGCCTGCGTCTGCAGGCGGTCAAGGCAGTGCCGCACCGTCCGCTCTTACGGTAGAGGCCGCAGGGCAGGCGCCACGAAGACCGTGGCCGAGACAGAGAAGTCAGGAACCCCGCTCGAGGATGAGAAAGGGATAGCCGCTGTCTCCATTCGCCCTCCTCCGAGTCTTGTGCTGCTGCGGGCCACCATCCAGTCGTTCGCCCGCGGGAACGGATCGGGTGCTGCTAGAAGTGCCCCTGGCCGAAGGTACCCCCAGGACTGTCGGGGTGGCGCAAGCTGCCTCCAGAGCACCCCTCACGAGGCCCAAGGGGGCCCCAGGGCCCCCCGAATGGATCGAAACGCTGGGGGCACCGTGGGCCAGGGGCACTTCTAGCAACACCCGAACGGAGCGGAGCGGAGCGGCGCCGCGCCGGAGGAGGAGGAGGAGGAGGAGGAGGAGGAGGAGGAGGAGGAGGAGGAGGAGGAGGAGGAAGGAGGGAGGAGGAGGGAGGAGGAGGAGGAGGAGGGGAGGGGGGGAGGGGGACGAGGAGGACGAGAGGGGAGGGAGGAGGACTCGGAGGCCGTGGCCTCGCACCGTGCTCCAAGGGGCGTCGGCGGAAGGGGCGGCGAGGGGAGGGCGGGGAGGGGCGATCGAGCGAGCGAGCCGCCAGTGCGCAGCACCCTCCAGGCCTGTCTGAGGCTCGGCGGCTCCCTCCTCCATCCCTCTTCCTCCACCTCCTCCTCCTCCTCCTCCACCTCCTCCCTTCTCCACCTCCTCCTCCTCCTCCTCTCCTCCTCCTCCTCCTCCTCCTCCTCCTCCTCCTCCTCCGCCTCCTTCCCCCCCCTCCTCCTCGGGCGGGGAGGACAGATTCGGTCAGCACCGAATCGGGAGATCGGATCGGATCGGGCTGCGCGTCGGATCGGGCCGCATCGGCACGGAGTCAGAATCGAGAGGAATAGGCTGCGCCAGGATGCACAAAAGCGGCATGCAAGCATCGGGCCGCATCGGATCGTCGAAATATCGGAGTCGAATCGGATCGCGCTGGCCGGAATCGGCATCGAATCGGATCGATCGGATCTAAGCGGGCCGTGGGAGGACGAGGGCCCTTAGGATTTCTTGTTGGCCTCGCCTGCGCCCGCGTAAGGGCAAGAGGTCCAGGCAAGGAAGAGGGCGGCCACCGACGACGGAGGCGACGAAGGCGCACGGCGACGGCGACGACGACAGACGGCACGACAGCGACGACCACGGAGGCAGGCGGAGCGAACGAACGCCGCGACAGGAAGACGGGAGACGGAAGAGGGGGGGAGAGAGAGGCAAAGACGGCATGCACAGAAACGCTCGGAGCTCCGCGCGGAACTCCGAAAAACAGCACGGCTGCGCCGCCGCCTTGCTTCTTTGAGAGGAGCAGCATCGATCAAGGAGGGGGAGGCAAGGCGGGGCGGCCGGCGGGGCGAAGTGGCAGCTCAGGCGCGCTGGAAGACGCGGAACTCGCCGAAGCGGCCGCCGACGCCGAGGCGGAGGTCCCCGTCGCAGTAGGTCGTGGCCAGCGTGTCCGTCAGGGGGCCGTCCTCGGCCGCGTCCGCCGCGAGGCCGAGGGGGGCGAGCGGGAGGTGCAGCGCCCCGAGCTGGTCGAAGAGCCGGCTCTCCACCTGTAGAGGCCTCCTAGATGGGGTCGGAGTAGATGGGGTCGGAGGATCGCGCCGCATCGTCGATGTATCGGCGAAGCATCGGCGATGTATCGGCGATGCACCGGCGATGCCTCGTCAACGTCGGCGATGCATCGGCGACGAAGACGTGAAGCAAATCGGCCTGCGCCTCGAGCCGCATCGTCGATGCATCGGCGATGCGGCGCGATCCTCCGACCCCATCTACTCCGACCCCATCTAAGAGGCCTGGAGCCTGGCACGGCCGAGTTGGACCACTGCCACGCCGCGAGATCGGTTCCGAAGCGGCTCGGATCGCCCGCGAAGCGCCCCGAGTCGCCTCGCGATCGGATCGCCGCGCCCCCTAGCCGCTACCCGTGGATCGAAGCGAATCGCATCGGTTCGGAATCGCGCCCCTCCTCCTCCTCCTCCTCCTCCTCCTCCTCCTCCTCCTCCTCCTCCTCCTCATCCTCCTCCTCCTGTTCCAAAGTGCCCGGCGGGCGAAATGACTCGAGTCGCATCAAATCGGATCGAAGGCGGCCCTGCCTGGCCGTCCCGGAACGCGAACCTCAGGACGCCCTCGGCGGCGACCCGGAAGTTTTGCCTCAGGGTCAGCACGGTGTCTGGGCTGCCCGAGCTGAAAGGCAGCGCCCCCAGCAGGCCGGTGTCGCGAAGCCACCGCGGGGCCCTGAGCGTGACCTCCGTGTCCGCGGTTTGCTCCCGCGTCCGGAAGACCTGGTAGATGTCGCCCACCTCGACGATCGGGGAGTCCATGCTCAGAAGGCCAAGAATCGGAACGAGCATGAGCTTTCGGAGGTCCGCGCGAAGCTCTTCCCCCCACACCCCCATCCTGGGGGGAGGAGAAGGAGGACGAAAAGGAGGAGAAGGAGGAGGAGGAGGAAGAGGAGGAGGAGGGGGAGGGAGGAGGAGGGAGGAGGAGGGAGGAGGGAGGAGGACGAGGAGGAGGAGGAGGAGGAGGAGGAAGAGGAGGTGCGCACAGCCTGGCGCGACGGGCGGTGACCGAAGCGCGGGGCTCTAGCTGGATATGGAGGGCCTTCCACAATCGCGGAAGGGAGGCCAGACTGCAAGGCAAGGGACTCGTGCAGCTGGCACAGTGACCGCAGAAAGAGAGCTGGGTCAATTAAGGTGTCGATGGAAACATACGCCACGGCAGCCCAAGGCGACGAGTGGCCAGAAACCCAGAACACCAGAGCGCCCAGACAGGCACTCCCGCCGCCTAGGCCCTCCGAAGACGGCCAGTGCAGCAGGAACGCCACCCCCACGGGGACGGACGGGCGACCACCCAGCGGCCCCCCGAGGCCGCCCCAACCCAGAAGGGGCTAGCCATCGCCCCACGGGCGAAAACCAACCCAGAGACCTCCCCCAAAAGCACAACCAGAACGACGATGCAAATCCAGCAGGGCGGAGCGGGGGCCGCACCGAGGCAGAGCGGAGCACACGTGTCAGCTAGATATGCTCTGTGCGCTCACAACCTTCAGCATTCTCCACTGCGCACGCGGCATCGGCGAAGCGCCGACTCCCCGCAGGCGCATCGGCTCGCCCCGCTGGATGATGACATTGTCAGCGGGACTAGCGACTTGCACCACAGTCCCGACGAGCCCGACAGGGACACGGACCCGTCTGCCCGCATCCGTGTTGAAGGCCTCGATGACCGCGACCCGCATGCCCTCCGCCAGCTCCTCCGTCGGCATGCTGTGCACGCTGTGGCACTCCCCGTCGTCCGCGGCGTCGCGGAGCTCGTCTCCAGGGCCGAACTCGGCATCCGCCCACGACGTTCGTAGACCACCTTCAGCTCGAACTGCTGCACCATGAACTGGCCCAGGTAGCTAGCCACCGCCAAGTACCGCAGCGCCGTCATCAGCAGGAAGCCAGTGACGACCATCATGGAGCTCGACGCGACCATCACGAAGCTCGTCACGACCATCACGAAGCCCGTCGCGACCATCACGACGCGCGTAACGAAGCTCGTCGCGACCATCACGAAGCCCGTCAAGAAGCGCGTCGCGACCATCACGAAGCGCGTCGGGAAGCTCATTGCGACCATCACGAAGCTCGTCAGGAAGCTCGTCGCGACCATCACGACCATCGTGAGGCTCGTGGCGACCATCACGAAGCTCGTCGCGACCATCACGAAGCTCGTCGCGACCATCACGACAATCACGAAGCACGTCACGACCATCATGAAGCTCGTCGCGACCATCACGAAGCCCGTCAGGAAGCACGTCACGAAGCCCGTCAGGAAGCTCGTCGCGACCATCACGAAGCTCGTCGCGACCATCACGAAGCTCGTCGCGACCATCACGACCATCACGAAGCAGGTCACGACCATCACGAAGCTCGTCACGACCATCACGAAGCTCACCTTCTGCCCGAACGGCTTCGCCAGCACTCGACGAGTCAGCCTCCACCAGCGGCGCCCAATCCACGAGCTTGTCCGTGGGTCCGTCCATGGACGTGGACTGGTCCTCCGCCTCGGAGTGCGACTCCACCCAGCAGCGCGCAGCGGCCAACGCTTCAGCCCCTGCACCAGGATGACGGAGCATGGAGGCTGCCGCGTCCACCGCGCGCCAGGCCCTCTCCAAGCGGGGCGGCGGGCGCCGGCCTTCGCCACGGCACCGGGCCAGGCCGGCGGCCAGCGTGGCCCCGCCCAACACCGCGACGGGTTCCGCAGCCACGCCAAGCAGCCGCTGCGCCTCTCCCCCTAGGGCCGTCAGCGCCTCGGCCCCTGGCGCCGCCTCCGTAGCCGCTGCGACAGGCGTTGGCGAGGAACCGCCTTGCGCCGCCCCAGCTTGCAGCAGCAACATGAGTGCTGCTGCGGCTTCCACCGTCGGGACCGTAGCCGTCGACACGCCATGTCTGACGGTGAAGCCACATTTCGCCCCACGCGGCATCGCAGCGGCGGGGAGAACAGCAACGCGCGCCAAGGGCCGCGCGCCGCGCCGTGGAGGAGCTCAGAGCAAGCAGCACAGAGCAGGATCTCCTTGAGCCACAATGGCTACGGAAGAGGAGGAAGAGGAGGAAGAGGAGGAGGAGGAGGAGGAGGAGGAGGAGGAGGAGGAGGAGGAGGAGGGGGTCGGGTCGGCGGAGGGGGGATGGCGGCAGGAAAGGAGGGAGGGAGAAGGAGAAGGAGAAGGAGAAGGAGAAGGAGAAGGAGAAGGAGAAGGAGAAGGAGAAGGAGAAGGAGAAGGAGAAGGAGAAGGAGAAGGAGAAGGAGAAGGAGAAGGAGGGACGGAGAAGGGAGGGAGGGAGAAGGAGGAGGAGGAGGAGGAGGAGGAGGAGGGAGGTAGGAAAGCAGGGAGGGAGGGAGGGAGGGAGGGAGGGAGAAGAAGGAGGGACGGAGTGGAACGCAGCGGGCGCAGTGGCAATGCCATGTGCTGCCGCAGCACAAGGAACCGAACTTTATACACCGATGCCTTTTCCCGGTCCCGCACTGAGATTCGCACAAAAAAACGGATCATGGTGTATACGGCATCCTGGTGTATACATGTTTTGTTGCTTCCACGGGAAAACGGGGAAAAAGTATACACCACACCACCCCAGCGTCATCCCCGACCCTGAAAAAGTCCTGAGATTCAAGCAACAGCCCGCCACTGGTTATGTATACGTTCCAGTTTCCGACAACACACGTGCCCCGAGCTCGAGGAGCAACGGAACGACACGGAGGAGAACGCGCGCGCGCGCCCGATGGCAAACACCACGAAATGCCACGGTAGACAAACACACAACGTTCCGGAACTGAGCGAAATTGAAAACAATCACTGCGCATGCAAGAAATAATACCGTGCAGCGCTGTGTGCATGCTCAGCGCACACCTGGAAACCTCCGCCAAGCAACAGACACTGTGAAAAGTCACCACCCACAACTTGGGAACAGCATTGGCGTAAAACTTGGGAAGGCCCTTCACCATGTTGTGCACACAGCACGCTCCTCGGCACGTTTCCGTGCGTGGGAGACGTCTCCAGCAAAATTGGAATACCCCCGCCCCTAGTACACAAGTACCAGAGAACTCGAGCAGCAGGATGAAAATGGTAAAGCCACTGACCACGGGTGGCTCCGACCCGCCAACACGTGCACCACCACGCGGATGAACATGGCAAGACTGCGGTAGGCGTGGAAACGCAGGCATGCGTTGCAAGTCCTACGGGTACACCTCGAGGGCAACAGGTGAAACTCCGCACTCCACGAATACGTCCAGTCTCGCCAGCCGACGACCGCTACAGCACAGAGACAGAGCCGCGCCGGGCATCGGAGCCCCCCAAGCGCGCCACGTGAGAGCACTCGGCCGCGACCTGGGGCCCATCGCGGAGCCAAATGCCACGGATGGGCCTCGGGCCGCACGTGCTCCAGCTGGCGGGAGAGATGGAGGGAGGAGAACGAGCCAGTGGAGCAACACTCCGCGGAGGCGCAAGCGCGTCGCGAGCGCACGACGGAATGGGACAGGCAACGGGCCCTGCCAGAAGAACACGGAGAGGAGGACGACGAATTCGCACTCCCATGGTAGGGAGGGCGGGGGGGAGAAGGGCAATCGGCCGCTCTCCTCCGAGGGGAGCGGCATCATCGCCGACCCTTCCGCTGCGTCCCCCCCACCATACACCGGCGCCGGCGCCGGCCCCGCCCGCTGGCCCCTCCTCGCCGCGCAGCGCCGCGGCGCGCAGCCCGGAGCGTTGGGCGCCCCCGTGCCAGGGCACCCCGGAGTACTGCTCAGCCAGCCGCGCGCGGTCCAAGCGCTGGGCAGCGGGCTCCGCAGCAGGAAGGGGGACCGCCAGCGACGTGGCGGCAAGCCTCCCGCCGTCGGCCAAGTCGTCGTCGGGCAGCTCCGACGCCGCCCCCTCCACGGCGTCGGAACCAGCCGCAACAACCATCCCCACGTCCCGAACCATGTCGGCCCCGACGGCAGCTGCCACGGGCGCCAGCTCTAGCCCGAGGCCCGCGCGAGCATCCCCAGCGGCGGCACCAACGCCAGCCGCCCCTGCAGCGGCGGGCGCCCCCTCGGCCTTCGGGTCGATGCCCATCTAGGCAGCCGCTCGCCGCGCCGCGCGGCGCTGGCGACGGCGCCGCCGCCGCGCAGCCCGCACCGCAGGGCTCGCGTCTCCGCCAGGACGAACACTAGGTTGCACATGGTCGCCAGCCGCCGCGGTGGGGCGGGGGCGGTGCCGCCACAGCGAACGCTGCCACCGACACTGCCGACCCCGCCACCGCCGCGACCGTGCGCGTCGGCGCACCAGTCGCCCGGCGCACAGCCACCTCGACGAGGAGGGCCGCCGACGCGGGACCCAGAGCACCTCTGGCCGAGCGCGCAGCAGTCATCGCGGGGACAGCGCGCCGAGCACTAGGCATGCGAACGCTCGAGCCAACATGAAGGAAGAGGAGGAGGACGAGGAGAAGGAGCAGGAGGAGGAGGAGGAGGAGGACGAGGAGGAGGGGGAGGACGAGGAGAAGGAGGAGGCGCACCGCCGAGAGGAGGAGAGGAGAGAGGTCCCAGGTCCTTCGCCGAGAGGGAGCACGGCCCGCCCACGAGGACCGACTAGATGTCGACCACGCCGAAGTATGCGGCGGGGGGAGGGGACATGAAAAAGGGGCGCGTGCTTCACAACGGGTGTTTCCGAGCAAGTTTGAATAGTGCGTGGGACTTCCAAGCAGCTACTCTAAGCCGCGCACGCAAAGGCGAAAAAACAAAACCTGGTTAACATACAGCCTGCGTCGATGCCTCGAATATCTGATACGTATTATGGATCAGGTCTAGGGCAACAAAATGCGAGAACACAGATTCAGGAGGGGAGGGGAAGAGGAAGGGCATCAGAGCTTGAAAAGGATCATCCCCCCTTCATCAGGCAGCCACGGCAAGAGTTTGTTTCACCATCGGACTGAGAACGGAGCACGAGCAGCAATGCAGCAGGCCGTCGCCTCCGACGGCTTAGCACCCGAAACCATAGGTTTAGGCCCC